TTTTTTTTTTTTTTTTTTTTTTTGTTCTGTATATATGTATTCGCGTTTTTTCCTCGCATACGTAAGCGATCGGTTACCTTGTGTGCACGACGGGTTGGTTCTAAGGATTTCTCAGGTGTATGTATGCGTTTACGTATCCTTCGCATTGTTCTGTACACACGTACGACGATCGACTGACGATGATACATCGTAAAAATTGTGCGTTCTCGCGCTTGTTTATACTCTTATCAACGAGTAGATTACAGATATTCGACGAACGATTTATGTTTTAATCGCGGCAAGTCTGAGCTTTGTCACAATCGTAAGGTTATTCATATCGTGTCAACCGATAGCGTTAATTGATTCTGTCTGTAGATATAATCTATTCTTCTTCCGCGGTAGCTGAAATGAACAAAGATCATTTTCTGATATTTTATGCAAAAGAAATTACGATAATTAAATTTCAAATATATGGAGGAATTTATTTCGCGAAATTTTGAGTTGAAATTGACAATTGTCACGTTTTCGTGCTCCTTTAGAATTATCACATTCTTAAATTCATTGTTTCATACATTTTTAAATCCCATGTCATAAACGCGACGGTTGATTTTTGTCGAACTAAAGGAAAACGGATCGACTTGGCTTTTCGAACAATCGTTTCAAGCAATTTCAAGCAACCTAGACGTTTCTCGGAATCGCTATACGATGAGAAAAATAATGGTCGGCGAGTGATTATGTTTGTACAATAGTACGGTCCCCGGCAGGTAAAGGTCGTTCGTGGGTCCGAAGGTTACCTCCTCTCTACTTACCTACTCACCATGATCGCGCGCATTGGCACGGATTTATCTTCGTCCCGCCCGACAGTGCATCGGGGTCGCCTATCGAATGGGATGTAATTCTTTCCGAAAAGCGAAAGAGAGAGAGAGAGAGAGAGAGAGAGAGAGAGGGAGATGATAGCATATACATATATAAAAAATAATAAATAGAATATAAAACTTCAGGCGGATTTTGCGTGGGAGGAGAAAATATCCGAAGAATGCCAAGAGAGAGAAAAAAAATTTAATAGAAATCGTAATAAAATAATAGAAAATATATATAGGAAATAAAACGACAAAAAAAAATATATATATATATAACAAAAAGAAATTTAACGAGAATCTAAAAATGGATAGGGGAGATGTGTTGTGTTTTCAGAGGCGGGAAAACTCCTATCGCGAAGCTGTATTAACGAAGCTGTATTAACGCGAAGTTTTTCGGGCCGCAGCTTCTGCTACGCGGAGCGAACGCGTTCACCGTATCGCGCCCGGATAGTGCGGCTTCTCTCCGGTGAACGTTATGTCATGTAACACGCGTCCGCGCGATGACTTATCGGCCGACGCCGTCGAGGTCGCCGTGACTGAGAATAGATCGGACGCGCATGGCCGCGGATTAATATCGCGTCGTTTATGACTTCGCGCGCGGTCTTTGTGCGATACCGCCGTATTTCGGATACGTCCAACGCCACGTTTCCTCGCGCTACACAGTTAATAAAATATAATAATTTAACCGCAAAATATAATATTTGATATTGTTTAATAATGAAATCCAACAGAGAGAGAGGGAGGGAGAACTTAGCTCTCGTCGAATCGAAATAATTGTAAATGTCAAGTATTTCTTTGTGCGCTTCTATAACATATTTGTTTTTTTTTTTTTTTTTTTTTTTTTTTTTTTTTTTTTTTTTTT